TCACGATCTCACAACATATACACACAGTCACTATCACACTATATACCTTTTTTACCTTTAACCCCTAACTAGCAGTATGCAGCATTAAAGGGACACTCCAGGCACCCAGACCACTTCTGCCCATTGGAGTGGTCTGGGTGTCAACTTCCACTACCCTTAACCCTTCAAGTGTAGTTATTGCAGTTTTCATAAAACTAGAGGGCACTTTCGTGATTATAGCACACGAAAAGTGTGCTATAGCGTCGCTGGACATCCTCACAGTATGTGAGGACCTCCAGCATCGCCGAAATCCCCATAGGAAAGCATTGAAAGCCTTTTTCAATGCTTTCCTATGGGGAGGTCTCATGCGCAATAGGTCAATAGGAGCGTGGGCGGACCCTGACCCAACGCTGAGGGACATCGGCACTGCATACAGGTAAGTCACTGAAGGGGATTAAACCCCTTCAGCAACTTGGGATAGGGGGTGGGAGGGAGAGGGGAACTGCAGTGCCAGGAAAACGCTTTGTCCCTTTAACAGTAATTTCCCTAATTTCGACCCACCCCAGCTAGCTAAATATAGAATTTAAATATATTTTAAGGAATTAATTGTATAAATTTAACCCCTGTAGTCTGTGATCAGATGGCAGTTAAGTGGTTAATTTTAATAAAGATGGGTTAAAGGCAATTTAAGTTTATTTATTTTTTACACTGAGAAACAGATCAGCATTGATCCGGCACTTCACACTGAACGTGGAAGAGCAGAGAGGCGGATCAGTAGTCCCTGCATTTCCTCACTATGACAGGCAGTCAGAACGATCACAGTGTGATCGGGTGCTCCCTGGAGGAGCGTTAACCCTGCAATTGATTGCGACGATCTGGGGTTAACTTTAGTAAATGACAGAAATCTTCCATCATGCCTCCTTAATGGTAGGACAAGCATGACGGAAAATCTCAGTCCAGCGCCACGAAGGGTTTAATGGTGATCACAATCTGACAGAAAAACTTCTCAAATGATTTATCTACAGAAGTCACCATTAAAGTCCACTGCAATTTTTGTAATTACATAACTTGAAAAGTCTTTCTAAGAGATTGCGATCATTTAAAAAAAACTTATCCAAAAGAATCAATTGAAGACTTATTGTTTAATTTGCCGGGAAGTAAATTTCTCTCTCTTATCTCTTGTCCAACATACTGTAGAGTGCAAAATCTGCATTACTATCAAGGACCAGAGTCCAGTGTTTGGAGTGCACAAAAAAATTCATGGACAACTAATCCAAAAGTAGAGGATCTCACAGATGGACTGCTACAAGAATGGACAGGTAAGGGCAGAACTTACACAACATCTTCCTTTAACATCTTCCCACAACAGTTGGAGTGGACGTCGTGTCAGATATATGAAGGAAAAATGCCAAACTCAAATGAAAATATTCCAAAGGAGTCTGTAAAGACAGATTTTATTAAACTACAGAATGAGCTTGTATAGTAATGACTGAAACATTTTATAAAGTCATTTCTTATTTAGGATCAGTGTGAGTTTGAGGAGGTGGCCGTTTACTTCTCCGAGGAGGAGTGGGACTGTTTAAATGAAGTCGAGAAGGAGCTTTACCGGGATGTGATGTTGGAGAATTACCAGACCCTCAGCTCTCTGGGTAAGGCTGTCTGTCAGGCAAGATTTCTATCTGTAACTCTTCTTCAAATAGCTTTCTATACATTTTGTAATATTTGTATAGAGAAGTATCCTATAAAGATTCTCTCATCCACTCACAGGATGTATCCGTGTGACTCCTCCAGTTATATCGGTGATTGAGCAAGGTGAAGAGCCGTATGTGAGGGGACTCCAAGAATTTAAAGAGATTGGTTGTCCAGTATACCCAGGTTAGTATTACTAATCGTGTTCTTGGTTTATGAATTGGCATATTTTAGTGCAACATTTCTAAAATATTTGTGGTGAAATAGAATAGTTTTTTATATATATATATAAACTATAGTAAAACTGGCAGCACGTACGGTCTTCAAATAAAACGTCTTTATTTTGCAAGCTTAAAACGTAGGATCAACGTTTCAGTCCTTTTTAAAGGACCACTCTAGGCACCCAGACCACTTCAGCTTAATGAAGTGGTCTGGGTGCCAGGTCCAGCTAGGGTTAACCCTTTTTTTTAATAAACATAGCAGTTTCACTAGTCACAACCTTAGATATGGACTTTCCATAGCTCAGCAGCAAGTAAGCCATAGTATGACAGCGTATAGCTATATATGAGTTATAAACAGGATATCTGTTAATTTTGTTAAGACCAGAATATCATTGCTAGGTTGTCACAGTTCTTCATAAGAAAGCCTAGCAGTCATATTTCTCAGTCAAGACTTAAATGGTTACTACACACACCATAACCCCTTCCTAATTTGTGGTGATGGTGCCTGGAGTCTGTATGTGTAGCGTTTCTCTTCGAAACACTGCATATTCATAGATTACAGGATTTTAATTTGTTGCCGGATCTCCCTCATTGTGAGGAAAGTGCATCGAACCATAGGTAAGGATAAATATTTTTATTCTGAAGTGAACATACAGTAAGGACACACAGGGAAGAGAATGATGATTGTAACAGGGCTCCAGTACTTGGACGTATAACCTCTGTCTGATCAACTTCCTCACTGCTACCAGGAGACCCGGCAGTGCTCCATCGCCAAAGCTAAATTGGGATCTCTGGGTACCAATTCCTCTGGAAGGACTACCGTGGTTATAGCCCTTTCTCTGGATACCTTCTCACCTGGATAGCAGTAATCATTTCCCTTTCCCCCACACATTAATGTTGGGGGTAAAATAAACACAGTAATATCTCTCTATCTATCTATATATACACAGTTCAAATGTAGATTTCCAGGTTCCAGTAGGTTCCAGTTCGGGAATTTGGAGTGCTACTTTGTATCCTGTTCGGGAGTTTGGGGTTCTGCAGTAGCTGTGCCTGTGTCTCTGGAAGGAGAAGATCTTCTAAACGGCGGTTTAACCCCTTTTATGCCTGAGGGTGCCGTTACGCTTTCAATGTAGGGTAATAACTGCTTGATCCAAGGATAAATCTGACTGCCATTCTGGGGTCATGAAGGAATTTTTTTCCTAGCTTGTTGCAAAATTGTGCTTCAAACTGGGTTTTTTAGCCTTTTTTTTGGATCAACTGCAAAAAACAAATGTGAGGAAGGCTGAACTTGATGGACGCAAGTCTCTTTTCAGCTATGTAACTATGTAATATAAAGCTTCAATTGCTCCCTCTATCCAACTAGTAAATCCAAACTGAGTCAGCAGCTCTCTCATAAATCCCCATCCTACCCTGTCGAAGGCCTTTTCTGCATCCACCGATAGGGTCAGCAGGGGAACTCTCCTGGACTGCGCCCAGTCCAGTGAATCAATCACTCTCCGTGTATTATTATTTGATTGTCTACCCAATAAGAAACAAATTTCATCCTCATGAATAACTGAGGGAAGCACTCATTTGATCCTCTCTGCCAAAATGGATGCTTATAGTTTTACGTCTACATTGATCAGAGATCGGACTGTAGTTGGCCAGTACAATAGGAGACTTAGCCTTAAAATCAGCAGAATAGTTGCCCTCAATAGATCCTTTGATGCTTTACCTTTACCAGCTATTTCATTAAACGTTGTTGAGTGCGGGGTAATTACATTTCCAAAACATTTATAGAATGCATTAGAAAAAAACCATCTGGGCCGGGTGTTTTATCTTTCTCGAATCTGCGAACCCCATTGATAACCTCCTCTTGACTCATTTCTTTATTCAGAGACTTCAATTGATCTTTTGATATCTGTGGTATTAAAGAGTTATTTAAATAGTTTAGAATTGCATCTTCTGGAATCTCAGCTGCTGAATTATAATTTTTCATAATACAATTTGAATTGATTTTCTATATCTTCTGGTTTAGAAAAAAAATCTTATTTCCTTATTTCCTTCAACTATTTTATAAATCTTTTTATCCATTTCAACTAGATTTTATAAATCTTTTTATCCCCTCCACCCCTCCTCAAACAATTCTCCCAAATCACCAAACAAGTTTCCGATATTATAACCAATTCTTATTTTTCACCCATTCCGTAGCTTGCTCGTGATTATTAAATGTGTACCAATTATTCTCATACATAATTCTCAGGGCCGTTGGAAATCCCCATTTGAATTTTAAGTTTTGTTTTATAACCGGAAAAATAAATGAAAAGGATCTCCTCTTTGCAAGTGTATGGTAAGAGACATCTGGCAATATTTTTAAGTCCTTAAATTTATCTTCCAATGAACTCCTTCTCCTAAACTCCTGTATAACTCCCCATTTGAATTTGTAAGAGTGGAAAGCCACTATGACGTCACGTGGTAGATGATCTGGTGTTGTCCTATTAAGTGGAAGTCTATGGCATCTATCTATTTTTTGTTCATGATTGTTTGGCAATTCTAGGCAATGGAAGAGTTCTTTTAACCCCTTAAGGATGAAACTTCTGGAATAAAAGGGAATCCTGACATGTTTAAGGGGTTAAGAAATATTTAAATTTACTATCTTAGATGTCTTCTGGTATGTTCCGGAATCTTCAGTTTGCTCTCCTTGATCTATCTTCGGGATCACTTATTATTTTCTTCTAACTGCGTTATTTTAGATTCCATACTATTCTGGTTTTCTTGCGTATCCTGAAGTTGATTTTCTGTCTGTTCCATATGTTGAATTCTCTAGTTAAGAGACAGGAAATCTGATTTCAGGTCTATAAATGTATTATTTATTTAATTTTGAAGCTCTTTCAGCACTATATCGAGGCAATCTTTTAGGAAGCTTGGGGAGACAGTGTCACTTTCTGCTCCGTGAGGCTGTATGTTTTGAGATAATGACAGGGATGTATCTGCACTGTTTTTCTCCATTAATTCAGGGTCTTGTATGGAGAAAAATTATGAAAGCTTTTTTTCTTGTTTTTGTCCTTTTTTCCCCTCCATTTTTACACTCTATCTACTTTCTTGCATTCTTTTAGATGCCATTTTTAACCCCGTTTTTCTGTTCTGTTATGTTCTTTTTTTTTTTTTATTATTATATATAGGTAATTACAGCTCTATATACTTAGTACAGCAAAGTCAATATTATGGCTGTTTTCTTTGGATCTGTTTTGATTTTAGTTTTTTAATTTCAAATGCTTTAATAAATCTTTTTTTTTTTTAACAGAATATATCTGCAGATATTCTTCTTTTTGGGTTACGGCACGTTTACTTAATATCTTTAAACATTTGCAGGAAGTCGTTCACTTTGTTTTACTTCCACAATTTAACACAAAAATAAATAATCCAATTCATGCGCAGCTGATTTTCTCTGCAGTTTCAAGCCTTCAGCATGATTCAGTATTCAGTAATGATTCATACCTTACTGACAGTTCCGGCTTCAGTGGAATTTCTCTTTTCAACTTTGTATTCCTCGGATCATCTTTTTAGCTGTTTAAGTTTGAATCCTTATCAAAATAAATCTGGAGTAAAGTAGAGCTGTGCAGTAAATCTTCACAGGCAGCCTCCCCGTCACTTATCTCTTTATCAGAATTCTTGGTTGTATAGGGAGAGGTATTAGCAGTAGAAAGAGGGAAGTTCTCATGCCATTGTACAGAACACTGGTGAGACCTCACTTGAAATATTGTACACAGTACTGGAGACCGTATCTTCAGAAGGATATGGATACTTTAGAGAGCGTTCAGAGAAGGGCTACTAAACAGGTTCATGGGTTGCGGGATAAAACTTACCAGGAAAGGTTAAAGGATCTTAACATGTATAGCTTGGAGGAAAGACTAGAGAGGGGGGATATGATAGAAACTGCGACGAGAGCAATCTCGCCACATTGCATTGGAGAAGCCTGGTTGCTCGCCTGTTGCCTTTGGATTATGGCCCCATGTTAAAAGGCTTGATTTTCCCCTGCAAAGACAAGAAAGCCGGGTCATTTGGTGCTTGCCCTGTTTGAGCGGTGATACCCCAGATAGCTATGCCATGGAGCTCATTCGTATAATGAAAGACTATGGGAAAGACTTTGGCTCCATGGCAATTGAACTGTATGTGTGTGCTCTGAGCGCCATTCAGTAATAATGTGCGCTCAGATCTGAGCTATCTGGGGATATGTTGAATGTACCTGTTTTGTGCAATGGCTGCACAGTTATATGTTTTTATGTGTTTTACTGTCTTTTGCTGCCATGTGTTCAATGGAGTTTTGCCTCTGTCCTTGGAGATAATTGGATTACTTCCCAATTATCTCCAGGATAGAAGACTCTGTGGAACTGGTTTTGGGCAGAAAAGCCATGCTTCATTTGGTCACAAAGGACTACGATCTATCTTTTGAACCACTGGACCAATTTGTATGATTTTGACGTATGTTTGTATTTGGAGTATGCTGATTCTGAAATGTAAGTTTTATGTGAATGTGATGCATACTTTTCAAGTTATGAATAATGTGGAAAAATTTTATTTCTCTGCTTGTGCTAAATTACATTACCCATTGTGTAAGGTAATTGAATCACATGCAGAGGGGAGGAATTTGTGTGGGAGTGTCTGAGTGTATTGTATGTGTTTATTGGTTGTATTCCAAAACCCTGTGGGTGGTACTAATGTGTAAGAATGTGTACATAAGCACAATAAACCCACAGCTCTGTCTGTTCACTGCTTGACCCTCAACACGGAGCTTTGTCTCGTTCTTGGGGGGATTTATTGTATGCTGTTCCAGTTCGACTGCTAGGAGTGTAAACCTATTCGTATGGTTTTTGCTATTCGGCTGTTTACAGCATTCGTATGGTTTCCTGTTCGGCGAATTGGTGTTCTGCAGTAGCTGTGCCTGCGTCTCTGGAAGGGGACGATCGCCTAAACGGTTTAAACCCCTTGTGTGCTGAAACGGTCCGTTACAGAAACATTTAAATACATAAAATGAATCAACACAGTAAAGGAGGAGACTATATTTAAAAGAAGAAAAACTACCACAACAAGAGGACAGTGTCTTAAATTAGAGGGACAAAGGTTTAAAAATAATATCCGGAAGTATTACTTTGCTGAGAGGGTAGTGGATGCATGAAATAGCCTTCCAGCTGAAGGGGTAGAGGTTAACACAGTAAAGGAGTTTAAGCATGCGTGGGATAGGCATAAGGCTATCCTAACTATAAGATAAGGTCAGGGACTAATGAAAGTGTTTAGAAAATTGGGCAGACTAGATGGGCTGAATGGTTCTTATCTGTCATCACATTCTATGTTTCTATCTCTATCTTCATATCTCTTGTAGCTGTATCAGTCGCGTTCTCTCCTTACTCGAACTCAGCTTCTCAGCATGCCTTGTGGCCCGCTCTCTCCCTCATTCCTCGGAGTCCCTTATCTTCTGTGTTGAAACATTCCCCTCACGTCATGTGTGTATTACGTCATCACGCCCCTAGCTGATGTTTTTAACACTATAGGGTCAGGAATACATTTTTGTGTTCATGACCCTATAGTGTTCCTTTAATTTTTCACCCTATTGTTTAGATTTTATTCATATTAAATTATGCTTCATGTATAAATATGTGAAGTGAAAGCCCTATTTCTCCTGAACAAAATGATATATATTAAGTGTGGGTGCACTTAATATGAAAATTTTTAATTACGGTTGAAGAAACTTCTAAATTCTGATTCAAAACTTGGACAATTGCCTCCATCCTTAAGGGGTAATGCAAATACAACCCTAACTTAATTTATTGTAAATCTAATTTTAGCCTCCCCATGTCTTATTTGGTTTAACGTAGAATTGTATTTTCATCATTTCAAGAATATTTTTTCTCTTTTAAAGAAGTGTAGTGTTAATTAAGCATGGTGATTAATGTTTAGATGTGTCTTTCTAAATGTCATGCTAATGATTTAAAGGAAAATTTCATTAACTGAAAGTCACCAAACCAGAGGAGAGATTTTCAAACTCTTAAGTAACGTGTTTAATTTGATTCCTATATTTATTTCAGAAAGCTTTGTGAACATACATTTTCCAGAAAAATGTCACAAAACCAGAAACGCACTAAGCAAGACAGAAGAGAAATCTTTTGGATTGAAGAACTCCATAGAGCACAAGCTTTCCTTAAAATGCAATATGGGTACTGCTCAGAAGATGCACACAGAACCAAATTTATTCTTATGTTCTGATTGTGGGAAATGTTTTGACTTTAACTCTCAACTTGTAATTCATCAGAGAACCCACACAGGAGAAAAGCCATATTCATGTTCTGAATGTAAAAAATGTTTCAGCCAAACGTCTTTACTTGTTAACCATCAGAGAACTCACACAGGAGAGAAACCTTTTTCTTGTTCTGAGTGTGAGAAATCATATAGTTTTAAATCACATCTTATTCGACATCAAAGAGCTCACACAGGAGAGAAACCATTTTCATGTTTTGAATGTGGCAAATGTTTCAGCCAAAACTCGATACTTGTTAACCATCAACGAACACACACAGGAGATAAGCCATTCTCATGCTCTGAATGTGGTAAGAATTTTGGTTCAAATGCTTATCTTGTTAGACATCAGAGAAGCCACAGAGGGGACAAGCTTTTCTCATGTTCTGAATGTGGGAAATGTTTTCATTTTCATTCGCAACTGCTTGCACATCAGAGAACTCACACGGGCGAGAAACCATTCTCGTGTGCAGAATGTGGGAAATGTTTTGGTCGTAATGCTGATCTGGTTAGTCATCAGAGAATGCACTCTGGAGAGAAACCATTCTCTTGTTCTTATTGTGGTAAGGACTTCAGCTTTAATGCATATCTCATTAGACATCAGAGAACTCACACAGGGGAAAAACCTTACTCATGTCCTGAATGTGGAAAATGTTTTAGCCGTAACACAACATTTGTAAATCATCGGAGGACTCATACAGGAGAGAAACCATTCACTTGTTCAGAATGTGGTAAATGTTTCAGCCAAAATGCAATACTTGTTAGACATCAGAGATCTCATACAGGAGAGAAATCATTCTCATGTTCTGAATGTGGGGAATGTTTTGGTCGTAATGCTGATTTTGTTAGACACCAGAGAATGCACATTGGAGAAAACCCATTCTCTTGTTCTCAGTGCGGGAAATGCTTCAGCTTTAATGCATATCTCATTAGACATCGGAGAACTCATACAGGGGAAAAGCCTTTTTCCTGTTCTGAGTGTGGGAAATGTTTTAGTTGCACCTCAACTCTAGTTAATCACCGGAGGACTCACACAGGAGATAAACCATACACGTGTTCAGAATGTGGTAAATGTTTCAGGCAAAATGCAATACTTGTTAGACATCAGAGAACTCACACAGGAGAGAAACCTTTCTCATGTTCAGAGTGTAGGATATCTTTCAGTTTTAAGTCACAGCTTGTTATGCATCAGAAAACTCACACTGGAGGAAAACCATCACCTAGATTTAAAGGTGGAAAATCTAGCTCTAAAGCTTATCTTTATAAACATCAATAAGTTCACACATAGGATGCATTTTCGTATACTGTGAATGTGGGAGAATGTTAATATCCAGAACCCAGTGGTTGTTAGACATCAGAAAATTCACACACAAGAGAATCAGTTTTAAAGTTTTTAAAATTAAATTCAGTTTGTTACATGTTATAATTCTCACTAGAGTTTTCTCAATGTTAAGTATGGTGTTCACTGCAATTAAAATTTGCAATACACAAGCTCAGTAAAAAGAAAAAAAAATTTCAGTCCATTTAAAAATGACGACACAAGAACTGCACATTGATAACCAGCCAAGTGGCCAGCGTCACAAGCAGATTAACATGTTCTTACTCATATACTACAAAAACATGTTAAGGTACATACAATGCTGTGCTCACTGGCTTATGTCATAAAGATGCTGTTCCTGCACAATCGTTTATAAATTGGCCACAGCAAAAGGCTGTTTATGTTTATTGTCATGCCATAGAAACATTATTAAATGGTCTGTGCATATGGCTGATTCTAGCTTAAAGGACCATTATGATTTTCACAGTGAGAAGCACGCAAGCGCCTCTAGCGGCTCTCAATGAGACAGCCACTAGAGGCTCTGGAGGCTGGATTAACCATCAGTATAAACATAGCAGTTTCTATAAAACTGCTATGTTTATAAAAAAAAGGGTTAATCCTAGAGGTACCTGGCACCCAGACCACTTCATAAAGCTGAAGTGGTCTGGGTGCCTAGAGTGGTCCTTTAAGAAGGGTTTGATTGCGTAAGAATGTGATAGATGTCAGAACATTCACAACATAAATTCAATTTTTTAAAGCTGGGACTCCAACTAGTGTTACTCTACAAGGGGTGAAATTTACACACACATTGCCCCTATGTTTATCTTTCATCAGATAGGATGACTATACCTGATTTGTCTCTGTTGCCTCACAGATATAAGTAAAATGGGTCATATCCAAAAAAAAAACAATAATAATCAAGAGATTAATAGTCATACCTCCTGTTGTAAATATTCATAACAGCAAAAGCACACCCTACAAAAGGAGTCTAAACATGGCTAGTAAACTGTGGCATCCATGGTATAGGATCATATGTAGTGTGATGGATGGCCTGATTTGTTTGGCACAAGTCACAAGCTCGCGGCCCCGTTTTTGTGACTTTTGTGTACCAAGGTATCTCTGTATTACAGGCATCTGTGTAGTGTGTAGCTGTATTAAACATAGAGCAGTATGAGTGTCTGTACATGCAGCTGTGGGTTACCAGAGGACAGCAGCTCTCTATCCAGGCATAAAATATAGTTGTAATGAATTGCAGGTACCCGTTCGCCTATTTCCTCCCAAACTGCTAGAGTCTGAGTGATTATAGCTCACAGTCCAGGTGTTGATTTGAACGCTTCTCCAGATGAATTACAGCCTTCAAGTATATTCTTCCAGCAAAGCAGACCGGTACCCAAACATCAGTCGAAACTAGATGAAGAGTGTAACAGGAATGCTTTATTCAGGCTAACCGCCTGGCTTTTATGCTGTCAGGATATTTATATCGGCAGACATTTTGTGCTAAGAAAGAAATTAAAAGTATATATTGCCAGAGTCACTCAGAACAGAGCGGACTCCATTTTGCTATCTTCAGGATAACAAAGACACATAATTTCCTTGCTTTCACTAACCACTGAGCCTGAGCTAAGGAATGCATTATATAAACAAGCCAAGTGATAAGCAATGAAGCAGGAGGATGGAATGCTCTGTTTAAATGTTAATGGAATAGAAGTAATTTTAAACACAGACACTAGTGACAGAGAAGACTAAGTAATTAATTTTACTTTCTAAATTTTACAATTGTAAGTAAGGGGTGAAATTGAGTTTAGAACTGTCAATTTTACAAATTACGATCAAAGTAGTTGCCACAAAGACTGAGATAAACGCTTTGAACTGACAGCAAATCTACGTAATGGTAGTCATTTTAGATAAGCCAAAATTGTCATCAGGAAAAGTTAACTCTTTCCTGGATAGGAAGGTTTAGTAAGGCGAGACTGCCCTCTATGGATCAAATACCTAAATTGCGATCCACAGATTGAACCCACCTACAGTTTCCTATTGGCTTTATCAACTAATGATGTGCAGAGAGTCTGGCCCTTTAAAAGTTAGGACAAAGGAGAGAGAGGGTAGTTGGTAGAGTTTGGGCATTCATATTCGGACATGCAGAGAGAGAGATTCAGGACACTCTGGGACTAACACTCAACTCTCAAACTCTCTTGGACACAACTCAAGAAACAAAGGGCAGCCACACAGGGAGAGCACTAAATTTTCAGGTTGCTTTGAAGTAAATGAGCCAGGGGGTGGTCGGGGTTCGGTAGTTTTATCTACCGAACAGGAACAAAAATGAAAGTACCAAAATGGGGTAGTTTATAGTTAGGTGTGAAATTATTTTTTTGGGGCTAATCAAGTAAAATACTGCACTATAAGTGACCACCTGCTGTGGGACCCAGCAAGTCTATCTACTGCAGCAAAGGGCTGTGTTGTTATCAGGGTGTATTGGCATGGGGGGTTCTCTCCCTGTGACCTGTTCTGTGTTCCCACTGGTGAAAGTTTGGTTTAATGTTTATTTTACTGTATGCTGTGATCTTTGTAAGCTGGATCTGGACGCTATAAACTGAGTCAGAGACTGAGTTCTGTTGAGTTGCCAAGAAATAAGCTAGTTTGTCCCTTGAGCTGTCACAAGATATTCATTGTCCCTGTAGCAGAATGAGTGTCGTCCAGTTACTGGGGAGGTGTTGAGAGAATCTTGTCTTGCCTTGCTGTATTTACCTGTTCATGTGAAGCATCTTCTTTGTTCCTGAGTCATTTTGGTGAAAACCAGCGAAGAAAGGTCCCTGCTAGACTAGTTCTCCGCTACCGTCCTCTATAGAGTAATTACTAATAGGAGTATTTCCAGAAGACTGGATGGATGGAATATCATATAGTAACCAGATATCAGTGTAGCGGAGATGCAATATTCCCCAGGTTATCTCTGCTTATAATCCAAGTGAGGCTCAGGAACAAGTAAATAGTAAATCCACAGGCAAGGTTTCCAGCAGGTAAAATAACAGCAATATCCCCACAGCAATCCCAATAACTGGACGACACACAGTTTCAGGAGCAGAACTGAAAGCTTTAACCCGCACTATCCTTTTAAAGCATGCTCCCATGCAAGGGAGGGATTTACAATCATTAGTATAGCCAATCCTGTCCTGGTAACCTCCCACACATCTCCTCCCCTCAGCCTGCATCATAATCCCCTTCTCCAGTACAGTAATTCCCCCCGTTTCTGGATGTACCCCTAAACGTAGGGGTATCCCTTTAAATCCTAAACCCCCTGATAGCCCTGATCAGGGTGAACAACATATCCAAAAATCACCCAGATCAGACCAGGGGTTCGGGAAATCTATGGAGGGAATAAAATGACCGACGCACTGACTGAGACAGCCGAATGCGGTTCCATGCGAATGGGCCCTGCGGTCGGCCCTTGAGGAAGGGAACTAACTGCACGAAAGCCTCTAGCTATAGAGGCTAGGGAGGGTTCGCCTGAATCCCCTCGTTCGGTTCTTTCTATCTACCGAACGAGGGGACGGCAAAACACCGCTGTTCGGGAGTTTTAAAATGGCCGCCGCCACGTGTTCGTTTTTCGAATGGCGGCCACCCCCGAGAACAAAGGACGGCTACTTCACTTGCCAATTACCTGTTCGCAACAATGTTGCAACGGATAATTGAGAATACACTTCACACATGGGAGGTCTGACTGTTCGGTAGTTTCATTCGAATAAACTAAGGGAATGAAACTACCTAACATTCAGACGAATCCAATACATTAAATACATAGACTTTGCCATTTTCATACGAATGCATAGAAATACGTGAATTGTTCAGGACAGCACAGGGCCATCCGCTACAATCAGCTCAGTATATCCTGCATACGCTACCAAAGAGGAGTCCTAGCATTTAGTGGAGCAGTTTAGTGGTGCAAGTAAAGTAAAAAGAATATCCACGTACGATATTAAGGCTGTATCGTCACATGTAGAAAGTGTAATATGTCTATAAAATCAATAAATTGCAGCAAATTCATAGATGTAAGAATTTGTCTGTGCCAGGCACAGAACAGAAAATAAAAGCAAATGTTCAATCTAAATTGGTGTTTGTCTCAAAAATAAGGTGAGGCCACTTATAGGGAGTACACCTTCCCTTCACCCTATTTCACTTCCGGGTCACCTTGGAAACTTGGGATGAATGTTGCAGGTATAAATCTGATGACATGCATATGATCCGTGTGTTTACTAGGGTCCAAGATCAAATTTTGAGTAAGTACCATCTTTCCTTGCTGAAGCACCCAGGCAGAAGATACCTTTACTTTAACATCTAAGTGAGTAATTAGGATTTCTGCTGGATACTTCTCAGAAGAAGTGGCAAACCAAAGACAAGTGTTATGCTTGGTTGGCTGATATCCTATTTTCGTTCTACTATTACTGATACAGTCCTTCCCGGATTATTTGGGTAGAGAGACATGTTGTATATTTTATGTTTTATAGATCACTTAACATTGTTGAAAGATATATCATTGATTATTTCTCTGTAACACTTATGTGCAACATTCTTAATAGAAATGTTTGAAAACAAAAGTGAAAAACATTGTAATTGTATGTGCAAAGCAAATAAATGTTATTTTTCCAACAAAATCTAGTTTGACTTTTTCAAATGAAAATGATAACATTGGTTGTACGTTGTTTAGTAGGAACAATATTGTTTTTACCATGCCTACTTTGTGTGTGTGATGTACTTTAGGTACATACAACAAAAAACCCTGTGGCGGACCATGGGTAGCCCGACTGGTTACTTCCGCTAATTCCTTCCTTCAGCTTCACTGGAACCAGTAAAGACATTACAGACATCCATTCCCCCAGTAACCAGATGAAATATAGTTCTGAGAGTCAACTGACTTAACTAGACATAGCACACATATGTAATGCCCCCAACAGCCTCATTCACATACAATAGTGCATAGATTACTACAGTATAAGGAAGGGTGAGGTCAGACAATAGCAAGGGCTGATGGGAGATTGAGGAGAGACAAAGCAGCTAGTTTATACTGGTCTGGCAGTGTCTCTGGGACAACGTCGGGCTGGGGAAACATTAGGACCCGAAAAAGGGGGGAGGGGAGAGGCACAGACAAGCAATACATTCAATATACCCTGCACCAATAATGAGCACAGGGTGACCAAAATACAAAAGGAATCTAGGGACCCACACATAGTTGGTTCGGTAAGCGAATGGGAGGTGTACGGACAGCCAAACAAAAGGGAATAAAAGTGTAGCTAGAGCATCCATTCTGCTACAGAACCATTCTGCAATACCCCTAAATATGGGATACTCTGTACCTGTGGATCTATCTTTGGATGTCCCTTGTACTAACACGCCATCTGGATGGAATCATCAAAGAATAGAGGTAAAGTTTAAGTTACGTAAGTACTGCTAAAGGTCCTTAAAGTTCATTTTCTTTTTTTCAATCGGCTCAAATTTTGTCAAAAATGTCCAGGGTATTTCCCTGACTTATGGGGCATTCTCTCTCAAGATCTGTGACCTGCACAATGTTTGCTGCAGAAATGGAAGTGGCCCTGTTGCCCAATTTATAACCAGGGTGTACTTGGTTGGCAGTAATTATGACACAATAACAGGTGGACATGTGCAAGGGGAAGATTTTGGAAATGTGGATGTCCATTATTTCTTATAGGGCGCTGGTTAGTAGATGGATTCCCGAAATTGATACCCTAATGTAGGATCTACCTCTTTTGGACACCAAAAGCACTGAGCACTGCTTAGTAAAAAGCTCCTCTCATTCTTTACTCTAAAATGGGTTCCCCTACTTAGGATACCAAATTATGGCTCTGCTTAGTAGATACCTCCCTAATTTGGTGCCTCTTAGGATACCACATTAGGGCTCTATATAGTAGATTTTTTTTGTTTTAAGATGTAAAAAGTGCGGCCCTCTGTGACTTAAAAAAAAATCACTGCATTAATGTGCCGTTTCCCTACTTAGGATACCAAATTTGGGCTCTGCTTAGTAGATAGCTCCTTGTAATGGAAGCCTCCATTACTTCAGCATATGGAGAGGGCTGCAGGTTAGCATCCTTCCCACTGACTGTGGGCCTTGGACTCAAATGGCAGCCATTCAGACTACTTTCCTCCCCCCGGTTCAGGTTCAGGTTCACCACGGTTTCCCAAGTGCTGAAACACCCCCAGGACTGCGGAGCTCTTAAGATATTCAGATTCTGTGTTTTGCAGATTGCCTTGCATCTTGTTAAATTTAAGTGAACATTTGTTTTATCGTGTAGGTTTCCTGGCATCAGCTATTGTTTGTATTTAACACCGTTACAGCATTCTATTTAACCCATTATTTTCCCATGCTGTGTAAAATGACACAGAGCACTCTGATTGGTTAGCTTGAAATCCAGCCAGAGTGCTCTGTGTCATTTTACACAACGTGGGAAAATTCCAGAGAACTTTCCCACGCTGTGTAAAATGACACATAGCACTCTGATTGGTTACTTAATCCACCAATCAGAGTGCTCTGTGTCATTTTACACAGCGTGTAAAGAACTTAGGCTCAGAGCACTCTGATTGGTGGATTTCAAACCAACCAGAGTGCTGTGACAGGTAAATGTAGAGACTTACCTGTCAGTCTCTTAATTTACCTGTCAGAGCACTCTGATTGGATGTCTTAAAACCCACCAATCAGAGTGCTCTGAGCCTAATTGCAGGGCGGGGCAAGGCTCAGTCTGCGCGGAGCCCTCCATGGGTGAAGATACATTTTTTTAGCGCTTGTTTTTTTTCTTAGTGCGTCGGTTATTATGGATTTTGATTTGGCCTTTTTTGGGGCTGAAAAAATAAGATTTTAGAAGAAAGAAAACATCAAATGGTAAGTTCATTTTTTTTTTATTTATTTTTTTTACAGGTATTTAGATGAGCGGGTAGGTAGGGGTAATGGGGTGACTAGGGGTTTGGGGACTAGCACCTGGCACTCCAACTGGGTACCTCTGTTAAAGGATGCTCCTAGCGCTTCCTGAGGACTCCAAGCACTCTGGCAGACACCACAATCACCGAACCGGAGAAGCATAGGAGTACTTTTAAGCATATGAATGTTATATACAGCTGAGTAGGAAAAACCATGCAAATAGGTTTACACTCCTAGCAGTCAAACTGGAACAGCATACAATAAATCCTCCCCCAATAATGAGACGACACTTCACTTTGAGGGTTAAGCAGGAACTTCCTGTAATGGCCACATACTGGCTTTTACGCAAGTCCCCATGCAAGGGGACATCCCACAGGGTGGGGCACAGTACAACTAATCATTTACAGGAGAACCGTAAAACACACCCAGCACAAACATACATCAGTGATATAATTACTGAACACAATGGGTTAATGTAATTAATCACAGGCAGGAAAAATACACTTTTTATACATACACTGTAACTTTAAAAATATGCATCATATTCACATAAAACATACATATTCAGAATCAACATACTTTAAATATAAACATAACCAAAATTCAGCCAAATCCATTCAGGGGTTAAAAAGTTAAGGGAAGGTCCTGTTTGACCAAATGAAGCATGGTTTTTCTGCCCAAAACCAGTTCCAGAGTCTTCTATCCTGGAGATAATTGGGAAGTAATCCAATTATCTCCAAGGACAGAGGCAAAACTCCATTAGCCACATGGCAGACAATGGACAATAAAAGACATAAAAATACAATAAAATACACAAGGTTACATTATTACATAAAATAAAGACATGCAACATATCCCAAGATAGCTTAGGTCTGAGCGCACATTATTACCGAATGGCGATCAGACCACACACATACAGTTCAATTGCCATGGTGCCAAAGTCTTTTATTACACGAATAGGCTCCATGGCATAGCTATCTGGGTTAAATGAGTTCATTCAGTAAATCCGAGAATCTACCGAACGCCAGGGCAGAAATACATGAATAGAACTTTCTGCATAGGAAAATAAAGTATTTAAATGCCGGTTCATAGTCAAAAGGCAGCAGGCAGGCAACCAGGCTCCTCCAGTGCACAGTGGCGAGGTTGGTTCTGCCACATTTCTCCCCTTTACCTATCAGACTAACAGGGTATCTGACCTCCTGTCAGTCAGTGCCCTGGTTAGTCCAGCAACCCACAGAACACAATCAGCAGTACAGCCCATCCACAATAAAGGGTTACTACACTTGAGATAGTGGGTCGCTTGTCCATGTCCAGGAGCTCCACCTCGGCTCTGGGGGGTACTAGCACTCTGGATCGGTGGGTTGCTGGGTAAGCAGAGACCAGCGGTACTCTGCCCTGGTGCCAGCGCTACCACGGGAGTAGCCTGGTTGGAGCCCAGGTGAGGGAACGGCATAGTAGGCTCCTCACTCCGGCCCTGGGGCTGCTGCTGGAGGGGAAGCCAGGCTGTCTCCCCTTTTAGTATAGGACACTGCCTCTCGGGGAAGGGGTAACAGGCTCCCCTCCCTGAAACTCTCTCTGCTGTTGAAGAGGGAGACCGACTGTCTCCTCTTTCCATAAGTTGTCCTGTCGCTGGGGTGAGAGACCAACTGTCTCTGCTCCCTGTAGGACACTCTGCCGTTGGGGAGGGAGGACGCTGCTCTCCACTCCCAGTAGCTTGGGCGCAGAGACCACGGTCCCATCTGCGCTGGTGGGGGGCTTCGTGTCTCCCCTTGGTGGGCTACGCTGCCGCTTGGGAGAGGGGGTAACAAACTCCTCTCCCTTACTCACTTTCAGCCGCTGGGGAGAGGGGGTAACAGGCTCCTCTCCCTGACACTCTCTCTGCTGGTAGACAGGGGGA